GCGCGCGTGGATGTCTCCGCGCGCGGGACTGCACGCGCATCGTTGCGCACGCACACACACACACCTTGTCTATCTCCTTCCCTCTCTCTATCTCTCTCTCTCTCTCTTTCCTCCTCTCTCTCTCTCAATCTGTCTCCCTACCTCCCTTTCTCTCTCTCTCTCTTTCCCTCTCTCTCTCTCTTTCCCTCTCTCCCTTCTTATCTCTCTTTCTGTCTCTTTCTCTTTCTTTTTTTCGTTCTACTCCTCTCTCCGTCTCCATTCGTCCCTCGCGAGAGCTCCGCCTCGAGCGCTGACCCAACATGGGAGAACTGCGCGCGTAACGCATGGGTGGCAGTGGGCACAGACATTCCTGGCGGACCCCTTCGGCTCGAGGGGGTAACGAACTCGGGGGTTCCTGTAGTCTCGGGAGGGCTAGTCCAGGGGGGTACGTAGTCCAGGGGGGGGTACCTGTAGTCCGGTGGAGGGTACATGTAGTCTGGGGGCGGGTACCTGTAGTCAGGGTGAGGGTCACTTGTAGTCTGGGGAGAGGGTACTTGTAGTCCGGGGGTAACTTGTAGTCCAGGAACCCAGGACTCTTGCGTGACACAGAGTACCATCGGTAGTGTATGCCGTACGGTTGAGGGGGATAGAACGCCGATCGGCAGAGCTATCAGAAATTGTGGCGGGAGTATCTGTAGGTGGTGAAGTAGTAGCAGCAGGGGGCGGAACAGGAGACGGCGCAGGAAAGGATGAAGATGGAGCAGAAGGAGGAGGAGGAGGAGGAAGAGGACCACGACGACGCCAATAAGCTCAGGCAAGGGAACCTGCGCGCAGCCTGGCATGCGGTGCATGGTATTCAACTAGCAGCGAGGGCGAGGGGACTTCGTCCAATCCTCTTACAAGAAATGGACGAGCCCTCCCAACCGCCTCGCCACTTACGAGGATTGAACTTGTCCACTCCTCTCCAATCCATCCCGTGCCTCACAACTCCGAGCACGCGCGTGGGACCCAGCGCAGAGGGCGCGCCACTACACGCGGGACGTACGGGATCTCTGGAAAGCACTTTCACGACCCCTGCATCTTCTGAACCCAGGCCCGCTGGGGCGACTGGCATTCCAGAGCCTTCGCGCTTACCCTTGAGAAAACTTGGCAATCGTTTGAACATTACTCTGGCCCGGCATAGAACCTCTGCGAAGCAGCAATTGCCCAACGCGAACCCGGGGACGACGGCGACGACGATGCGGCCATTGCGTCTCTAATTGTCGCCGACGCTAGCCCTTCGGCCCGGCTGGTTGATACCCGCGCCCGAGCAACGACCAAGACCCACCCCAAGACCGACTTCCAGCGGCGTGCCTATCATGATGTGTTGCTCATGCACAACACGCCTCACCAGGCCAAGTTCCGACAGTGGGAGCTCGTCGACCACGCGAAGCATCCCCCGCCAACGGGGACCACTGTTCAATATAAAACTCCCTCCTGGCAGGCACGCCGGGCGGTGGCCAACCTCCAACTGCTCCCAAGTTGGTTCCAGCGAGGGTGTACGCCGCAGCTTTCGGGACTATGTGGAACCGATGATGCACGCATCGCCGTCTCCAGGAGCGCCACTCGCAACGCAACCGATGCGTACTTGGCTGTGGAGACTCCGCGCAGGACTCGATTGAGCGCTACTGCCTGTTAGTATGGGGCCTTTTTCACGAAGGAGGTCGTGTCACGTAAGCTCAACTTATCCCCGCGCCTGTACGCCAACCTCCTCACTTTTTAATTGCGCTATACAGACGTACAGACTTTTGACAAACTTGCCTAGCTTGCAGCGCTTATTACGGAGTCTACAACGCAGTCGTTCACTTCCGGCACAAGCCCCCAGTGAGGGGTTCCGACCTTGGCGAGGCCATCACGCAATGGATGCGGGAAGGCGCCAAGAACCATGGCAACGCAGCGCGGGCTTGGGACAACAGGTGGAATTGCTCACGACGGGACACGCACATTTCCCCCTAAACCCTTTGCATTTGTAGAGTCGCGCCTAGCTTGTGTAATGGGCGTCGTCGGCGACAGCGGTTTTCGTTGCAGTGACGCCGTCTCTCCGACGCGACTCCAGATCACTAGTGCTCGGCTTCAGGTCCCACTTCCGCGTTCACCCATCCACCTGTCCATCTCCACCTATCGACCTATCTCCGACTGGTGCTCCAGCTCCGACTCCTGCTCCAGCTCCGACTCCTGTACTCTGGCTCCGACGTCGAGAGTACACGACATTGGCATGTACCACGCGCTGGCGGGCACAGAATCTTTATCCAGCGCGCATCCATCTTGGCCAGTATTCACAACGGCTCTGGCCCCAGCTTCCACTCCCATTCGGGCTTCAGCTCCGACTGCATCGTCGACGCCGTCTCCGATTCCAGCTCTGGCCCCAGCCCCGACGCCGGCTCCGACTCCAGCTTCCGCTCCCATTCGGATTTCGGCTCCGACTGTATCGTCGACGCCGTCGCCGATTCCAGCTCTGGCCCCAGCCCCGACGCCGGCTCCGACTCCAGCTTCGACGACGGAGTCAATCATTATTACGGTGTCCACCATCACGGAGTCGAACACCGAACCGTTCCCATACGTCGCTAACTTGCGGCATTGAGCGCTGCTTGGCCGCTGAAGACGTCGATGATGCGTGTACTTGCCTTTTCAGCAGTGCTCCTTTTCATGATGGCCGTGGCCTTCATCCTCAAGGTCTTCTTGCTTGAGATCTTGTTTGTCTGCCATGGGCGGGCGCAAGGCTCTACGGGCAGCTGGCGCTCTTCGCCGTCCTTGCCTCTTCCTCCCTCCTCCCTCCAAGCGTTGGCTGCCTACCCACGGGTGTTCAGATTCTAACGCGCCCCGCCCTTACATGGTAGGACTCGAGCCTGCTCTGCGGGGGGCATCCCAGCTCATCATAGCACATCAGTTTAGAATACTCGGGGGTGCTATAGTTTTGACCATACGACGTCAAGCTTTCGACCCCCCCAACCCCCCCGTAGAATCTTAGCGACAGATTTTTGGTGAGGGAGTGGTCCGAATCCGATGGGCTTGTACCCCGTGACAATATTTGAGTAATCATAATGTAGAGATACGACGGTGTGATAATTATTCCGTCCCGTACAGAATAGGCCCGGAAGTTACTCCAATTTGGACCCGCACAGCTTACTCACTCCGCATAGGTCACTTGAGATTGTCAGTGTCATCTTCGTCATCGTCGATGCTCCATTGTATTCGTTCTCGCTTTAACGCGGCGTGGCCCTGGGAATCCTTATCCAACGCTGTCGCTCTTGCTTCGCTGGCCTATCATCCCAGACAGCTCACGAAAGCTCGCGACTCTGCATCAGGGCACTTTTGCATCCGAATCGGTCGTCCGCGGCACGCGGGACCAGCTATGGAATTCTCCGCCGATGGTCAAACATTTTAGTGCCTGGCAAGGGCAGATTGGGTCTTCGCTGTCGTCGTCATCATCGCGAATGCGGCTGGCTCGGACACCGCATCCGCGTCGGCCGTTTGCCGCGCGGGTGAGAAAAGTCCGCAGGGCAGATTGGGTCTTCGCTGTCGTCGATACTCGTCGCGAATGCAGCTGGCTCGGACACTCCATCCGCGTCGGCCGTTTGCCGTGCGGGTGAGAAAAGTCCGCAAGTCAGATTGGGTCTTCGCTGTCGTTGAGGCTGGCTCGGACACCCCATCCGCGTCGTCCGTTCGCCGCGCGGGTGAGAAAAGTCCGCGGGTCAGATTGGGTCTTCGCTGTCGTCGATCATCGTCGCGAACGCGGCTGGCTCGGACACTCCATCCGCGTTGGCCGTTTGCCGCGCGGGTGAGAAAAGTCCGCAGTACTCACGAGGGCTTCAGCGTGGGCGCCGTCCATTCGGTTCGGCCTGTGCGCCCGCGAGTTTGTTTTCCTGGTTCATGTCTATTATTCCTCGTTGCTTTCTTCATCTTCCTCCTCCTCCTCTTGACTTTGACCAATAATGTATGCGTTGTCCGTTTTGGCTTAATGCGCTCTGGCGACCTCCTGGATTACCAGTGGTTGTCCATAGGTGGTGCGTATTTCCTCCGAGTAGCTTTGCACGCGTCTCCTCGTGTCTGTGTAGTTGTTTCGTCTGTGCGTTGTAGTCGCCCGCGTTTCCGCCCCTTGTGTCATGCTTTCTGCGCGCGCGGTCGGAGTCGCATCTAGGATTATAGCCCTTCCCTCGTGGCCTGTGCTTTTTTATTTCTGGCGTGGGCCAGGGTTTTCAGCAGCCGTTGTGCATGGCAGCCGGTCTTGGCAATCACGCTGCCCGCTCTCCCTCCTCGTTCCCTTTTCCTCCTTCCCCTCCTCGTCCTTTGCCGTTCTTCCTCTTGTCGCAAAGTGTATGGGCAATTTGTTGTTCGGGCCAGGTGTTCATGGCGTGAGTTTGCCTATTGCAAGTCGGTTTGCGCGTTGTTCCCGGCTTGCCTGGTTGCCTTTACAGTCGCGGTGGGGTTGTGTCATTCGTTGTGTTTCGCGTGGAACAACACAGGGGGCCCTTTCCAATCATCGCAGGGTCTTTGAAGACCTTACAGAGGCCCATCGGTAACTTTGGAACTAAGGGAGGCGGGCCAAGAGAAGGAGGCGGAGGAGGATGCGGATGCGGCGGGGGAGGAGATGAGCGAGGCCCACGGATTAAAAAGAGAATTCTGAGGAAGGAAGAGAAGGAATGGACGGCTGAGGGACAAGAGGGGCCGGAGCACCAAGTGCAGCAGCAGACGGGCGGGAAGAGAGGGCGTAACCCGCAGTTTTTTTTTGTGGCCTTTGTCGCTTGGTCTTTCAATCCCCCTCCTCCGCTGGCTTTTCTGCCAGTGGAGGCAGCCAGCGCACTGACAGATCCTTGTTGTGAGACGTTGACCCGTAGACATGGCATTCCGATCCGATCATCGCCCATACGTCCCGTCCGTTTTTTCGCCCGTCTCTCCCCCTTCTCACTCTGCTCTTGTAGCCTTCCCTGCCCGCCCGCCCTCCCTCCTTCCTCTCCCCCTGCACCGACTGGGGGCCAGGGCAGGAAGCGCCGGCCGAGGCGAAGTCTTGGGCGGCGCCCGCGGAAGTGAGCGCCTGGGCCGAGGGGAGATGACCGTCCCTAGTGCTCCTCCTCTTCCTGCTGCTGCCCCGACTGCTCCTCTTCATCCGACTCTTTCTTGTTTTGTTTTGCCGTTGCTATTGCGTTTCCTCGGGGTTTTTTTTTTTTTTTTTTTTTTTTTTTTTTTTTTTTTTTTTTTTTTTTTTTTTTTAAAAAAAATATATATATATATATATATATATATATATATATGTGTATATCTACACAAGAAACAACAACAAAACAACGAGAGGGGGTCATCCTGCACCTCAACACCAATACGAATACGAATATTACGAATATTGCGGGTCCCGTTCACCGTTGACGTTGCGTCGTCGAGTTTGCCAAATGTGCGGCAGGAGTGGTACGAGGCGCACATCGCGTGCGAAACGGCGAAAAAGTCGTTCTCGCTTCGGCACCGCGCTCAGTTATCTTGGGCACAGCTCCAGCCACTGCCCTGCTCACATTTTGTATTCGCCCATTCGTCCATGGCGGACTCGCGCGCGAGCAGGCGACATGTCGCTCTCGCCCAAACGCCGCGGAGATTTGTCCTGAATGTGGCGCTTCCGCGTGGGCGCGGCGCACAGTTTTCGCACGCCCAGCCCTTCGGAGCGGGGCAGCGCGCGAGCGGGCGACATGTCGCCATCGCCCAAGCGCCGCGCAGATTTCATGTGAAAGTGGCGTGCCCGCATGGGCGTGGCGTTATTGTTTCGCTCCCCGATTTGTCGGTTGGAGCGCGCACCAATCCCAACATCCTGTTGTGCCACCATTTTCTCTATCTTGTAGTGCAGAAGACGAGAGAGGGTAGGGCCCGCTGACTCGTTCTACCTGGCTAACCTGATCCTACCTCCTGCTCTTCCTCCTCCTCCTCCTCGGCCTCCCCCTCCTGTAGGGCAGGGTAGAGGTGACCACGCCAGCCCGAGCAAAGGCACCGCTCCCGACAGAAAAGAGCCCCATGTCTAGTACTTACGGCTCGACCGGCAGATGTTTGGGGAGGGAAGAGGGAAGAGGTGGGGGACATACCGCGCACGTGATGATAAGCAGGAAGAAGAAGAAAGGACGAGGAGGCAATAGGAGGAAGACAGAAAAGAAAGGAGGATAACGAAACGAAGGTTGCTGTTATTCTGGAGGAGGAGGATAAGGAGGAAAAGGAGGAGGAGCAGGAGGAATGATAATAATCGAGTAGGACGACGATGACGGCGACGACGATACAGTTCGATGATATTGACAAGGAGGAGGAATACGAAGAAGCGTAAGAATCAGAAGAGGAGGGAGGGGAGAGAAGGAGGAGGAGGAAGAGGAGGACAGGGAGGAGGAGCAGGGAGGAAAAGAGAAGGAGGAGCGGTAGGGAGGAAAAAGGGAAGGAGGATGAGAAGCAGGAGCGGTAGGGAGGAAAAGAGGAGGAACACGGAGCACAATCACGGCGAGAAGCAAGGAGTAGACGAGAGGCGGAGGAGCGGTAGGGAAAACCCAAGCACCCGACGCCACGTGTTTCATTCGTGACGTGCAGTCAAGATTTTTTGGATAGTGTGTCACGGCAGCGGCTCCAGCGACAAGCTATGTTTTGCAATCGGCTAGCGTGTCGCTCTACTCTCCGATGGGCGGGAGGCTCGGAGAGGCTCGGGACACTGGCGCTTGCAAATGGGGACGTGGATGACGTGTCGCGCCGAAGCGTGGTGGGCCAGAACCGGCGGAGCGACACGCTAAGCCACAGTTCCCGACCGCAGGCCTCGACAGTTCCCGAGCCTCCAGTTTCTGTGCAGAGCTTGTTTGATAGTCCCAGGGTCCGCAACGGACTCCGGAGGTACGAAAGTGGACTTTGGCCTTCACGACTTCGCGTGTCGCGGGCGTCTGGTCAGAAGGGCGGTCGAGAGGGTCTTTCCTGAAAACCGACCCCCCCCGACTTGTCTTGGAATGCGCTCTGACCAGCAGCCCGGGGCGGATGCAGCCGTGGCGACGAGGGCGTCCCCGAAATGCGCAACAAAAAGTTCAAGGACGTTCAGAACTTCAATCATCGATCCTTGTCCCTCCTCCCTCCTCCTCTCTCCTCCCCGGAGGTCCCCAGGGCATCTCCGGGGGCCCCCCAGGGTACTGCGGAGGCCTCCGGAGGCCCAGGCCGAGCCGAAGGCCGAACGAAGACCTGGGCCCGCCTCCTCTGTGCCGCCCGCGGCCCGCCGGGCGGGCGGGCAGCGCGGAAGCGCCCACTCCGCGCCCGCGCGCGCGAGGCGGTGGAGGCGCTCCCGGCCATGCGGGCGTACCTCGCCGAGAGGCCGCCAGCAGTCGTGGCGGATCCGTCGTCGTCGGCGTGTGCACGGGCATCGTCGTCGTTGGCGTCGTCACGAGCGTGGGCGTCGTCGTCGGCGTCGTCGGCAGCGTCGTCGGCGCTGTCGTCGCGGGAGCAGGGGGAGAGGGGGAGGCTGGGAAGGAGAGGGGGGAGGGGCACAGGGAGGGGTAGTCAGGGCGAGCGGGGGGAAGACAAGCTGCGCGCGGTCGACGCACATCTGACATCTTGCCCCTTCCCTCCCTATTTTGGTGATTCTCATTAAGTCAGAGCGGGGTGTCCTAGAGAACCTTGATGCGGGCAGGACCTGACCCATCGTTCGCTGCAAAATCGGCGAATGAGTTTTCAAATGGAGTTGGAAGCGGAGGAGGAGGACAGCGGGGAGCAAGAGGGACAGAAGAAACAGGAGGAGCTGAGGGGAGCGGAGGAGGGGAAAGGAGGTGGTGGCAACGATGAGAAAGGAATTGAATCTAGAAGTGTGCCCCGCGATTGGGCGTGGGCGCTATTCCAAACGACGGACACAAAACACCGCTATTGAAATGAAGCCAACGCTGGAGCGGGGGCACAAGCTTGAAGGGGAGGGCGGGCCGGGCGGACTCCCCCGTTTGCCGCCCGCCGAACTGAGGCCACAGCTCGTCGGGATCGGCAAGGCGGGCACCCGTCTCTTGCAGTCGTGCCGCCGTGTCCCCTGTTTCGGGGGAGGGAGGGAGAGAAGACGGCTACTCCATCCTCCCTCCCCCCTCTCCCCTCCTCCCCCCCGCTCTTCGTCACCCCCTTCCTCTCTTCCCTCCACGCTCTTCGCTCCTCGCAGGACCCGCTGGGTAAGGTCTGACCGCTCGCTTCCATGAAAACCTGCCCGCTCTAATGTCCCGCCCGCCCGACCCGCCCGTTAGGGTCCGCCCGCCCAGCCCGCCCTCTGGGTCCGGCCGCTCGCCTGCATGAGAACCCACCTGCTTGAATGTCCTTCTCCCCGCCCGCCCGTTCTGAGTCCGCCCACCCGACCCGCCTGCCAGGCTCCCGACCGCTCGATAGAATGACGGCTTCGGTGTCTCACGAGTCGTCGGCATCGGTCGCCGCAGGCGTCATCGCTTTGGTCGATGTCGTCGTCGACGTTGTTTTCGTCGTCGTTGTTGATCACTGCAGTCGTCGTCGTCGTCGTCGTCGTCGTCGTCGTCGTCGTCGTCGAGGTCGAGTCGTCGTCGGTCGTCGCAGTCGTCATCTCCGTCGGTGTCCGTCGCCGTTCGCCGCAGTCGTCGTCGTCGTCGTCGTCGTCGTCGTTGTCGTCGTCGACGTCGTCGTTGTCGGTCGTCGCAGCCGTCGTCGTCGTCGTCGTTGCAGTCGTCGTCGCCTTCGTCGTCGTAGGCGTCTGCGCCGGCGTCCCGAAGAGGATGGGGTCTCCGATTTCTATCCCCTCCCTTGCCCATGGGGGGGAGCCAGCGAGGTGGAGTGTTGGGGAACGGTGTCCCCCAGTTTCGGATAACCCCTGGGTATATTGTTCAGCCTTCAGCCAAGCGTGTCCGTGAAACGCGAAGCGACCGTGACAGAATGTTAGCTAACGTGGACCCGAAGCAGTGTGTTCGAGTGCGTTATGCAGTGCAATATATGCGGTGCAATCCATGTGGTGCAGTCTAGTTATGTGATGCAAGGTATGTGGTGCAATCTACGCGGTGCCATATGTGGTGCAATCTATGTGGCGCAATCTATCCGCTGCAGTCTATATGCTGCAATTTACCCTGCAAAACTTGAAGTTGGCAGCTCCACTGTTCTCGCTTTCGTCCTGGTTTGCAAAACCCATGCAGCGGCGATCGCGATGAAGCTCGCATCCCACCTCCAGCGTGCCAATGCGGCTCTTGGAAATAAGCCGATAGACGCATCCCACCCCCAGCGGGCCCATGCGGATCGTGGAGGTAGTGGGTCATGGACCTAGTAGGACTCGGGACAAAACTCAAGGCGGTGATCGTCCCACGCAGGGTTGTCAGGGTCGAGCTGTTGCTCCTGGTCGTGCTGTTCACCGATTCGCAACTAGTGCAGGTCATGGTGGTCAGCGAAATCGTAGTCGATTTGGTATTCCCCATCGTGCATATCGTCAAGTTTCTTTGCCCATGGTGGTGCTAAACGACGTGGTGCTCGCGGCAGTGCCAGTCCCGTTGGTGGACGTCGATCGCGTTGTTCATCGATGTGCTGTTGGGGCTTCTGGTGCCCGCCGTGGTGGTCGGCGACGTGTTGCTCTGCGTCGAAATGAGAGTTGGGGGTGTGCTCGCCTCACTCGTGGTCGTCAGCATCGAGCTTTTTTTTCCTGGGCGTGCTGCTCACCGATTCGCGGCTGGTGCCGGTCATGGTGCTCAGCGGCGTGCTGCTAACGGTCTTACGCGTCCCATTCGCGGGCAGTTGTGTTGCGGTGTTCGATGCCAAACTCGCCCTACTCGTGGCAGTCGTGCTTCCAGGTGTAGAGGTGCTAGTCCCACACATGTTGCTCACAGACGTGGTGCTCGTTGAGCTGGCCGTTGCGCTGTTAGATGTGAGGCTGCTGGAGCTGGATCCCGTCGTGCTGCTCAGCTTTGTGGTGCTCGACCCCGTCGTGCTGCTCAACGTCGTGGTGCTCGACTCTGTCGTGCTGGATCCCGTCGTGCTGCTCAACATCGCGGTGCTCGACCCCGTCGTGCTGCTCAGTGTCGAGGCGTTGCTCAAAGACGCGGTGCTCGTTACGCTTTTCGTTTCGCTTTTGGATGTGATG